TCCGAGGAGGTATTTTAATGGGACCTTCACACCCGGTATCTATGCTATGTTCTACCAAATCAGTTTGACCCAGTTTTCCATCAGGTTTCATAAAAATGTCTTCAAACTCAAGCAACAAACTCTCAATTTTCTTTTTCTCTTTCCCATTTAATTGATTGGAGCTTTTGTCTTATAAAATAGCCAAATGTTCGGGAAGTTTTGAACTTTTTGTTTGAGTTTTAGAATGAGGCTCTACTTGATGCACACTCTCAACTGGTTCTAGATCAGCTATGCAAGTATTTCTGTTGATTTTAACTGACCTGTTTGTTAGATTGAGAAGGGAGATAACTATTTTCTCCTTCTTAGGATCAACTAATGTTTTTGCCATTAACAGACCATTGACATTGACAATTTGTTTAGGTTCAACCAACCCATAATTGGTACCAAGTTTCCCTTGAATATACCCTGTACAACAAAATTCTGTGTCAGGAGGTATTTTAATCGTATCACTGAGTCTTATTCTGGCACATCTAAACAAAGTTTTAGGGTTTTCAGAAAGAGGGAAATTTTGTTTACCTATTTTCAAGGTCTCATTTTGGAAGTTTACAACTCCTTTATATTTCTTTAGGAAATCCACTCCCAATATACTAATATCACCCTCCAACTTCCCTACAAGCATTTGTTGTTCAAAAACAGTATCTGAGTCACACAAACTAAATGAAAAATTTGACATTCCTAGTATTGGGATAGATTCACCTTTCGCACACAACAGTGTTTTATTTACACTTTTCATCTGCTTAGGTTTTATCTTCCCAGATAACATGTCAAATATGTCTTCATCCAGGATAGTAACTACAGAACCAGTATCAACCGGAAAACTCATTTGAACATCACCTATCTTAGCTTCAATAAACAAGCAACTTGGTTTTATGGTGTTCAATGTCATCATTGGCCTATTGGTAAATTTGTCAATTTCACCAGTTTTAAGGGCTGAATTGTCGGCCTCGAATCCAACCCGACCTAGTTTCCCGAATTTTTATTTGCATTGACTGAGTTAGAAGGAGCATTTTGATTCCGTTGATAGGGTTTTGATGGACATTTCCAATGAGGATGATCCATTTTCTGACAATATTTGCATTTGAATTTTCTTTCATTTTTCAGGGATCTAATTTCAGATGTGATTTGATTCATCATTTTTCCCATTTCTTCAGATATAATGGTAGCCAAATCTTTTTCAGAAATTTCAGGAGATTTCTTATTTTCAGAAACTACATGAACATTTTTCAGAAGTCTCTCATCACTTGCATGAGGCTTCCTGAGAATTGTCTTAGGCCCATCAAAAGCCTCATACTCAACAGCCAAAGTGATTGCATCATCGACACTTCTTGGATGTCTAAACTGAACATGTTTCTTGATTTCTGTGTTATTCAAACCTGAAATAAACTGATCAATTACATAAGTTTCCCTAGCAACTCGATCCAACTGAGGGTAGGCTTTTGCAGCAAGGTGTTTTAATGCATAACCAAATTCTGGTATTGTTTCAGTGTCTACGCGTTTGCGATTTTTGAATTGACATCTATATGCAGCTTCGCGTCCCGGAGGATTAAACCTTTGCATGAGAACACGCTTAATGTCATCAAATTCTCTGATATTTCCAGGGTCTAAATCTCTAAACACTTGTTGAGCATCCCCCTTTAAACTAATAGCTAGCTGCTGTGCTTTTTCAGCACTGGTCCAGCCATTGTACATAGAAACCCATTCAAAATGTTGTAAATAAATTTCTAGATCTGATGTACCATCATAAGTTTGTGGTTCTTTTTCTTTTCTTGCAAGTCTGGATGATCTAGAAAAATTACCATGATCAGATAACTCTTGGGGCATTGTTTGCATATGTAAGCGCGTAGGTGTTACTCCCCTTGATTGCGTTTCATACGTGTTGAACTGGCGCGCACGCTGCGGCAATACGTTTTTCTGATTTATTTCACCCCTTACTTGGGAACCCCCATGTAAATGGGATGAATGTAGGGACCTCTGTGTGGGCAGAGATGTAACAGAGTGTCCTTGATCACCAGGTTGTAAAAACCTTTCGTTACCCAAGGTATCTCTTAAACTCTGCGGGGCATGTGTGCGTGGTATGTCTCTAGAGTGATCTGAGTCAAAGTGCACCCGTGCAGGGATTTTTGGCAAAGTATTTTGACTGTCCGAAATGAGTGGAGTGCTGGTAAAAATATTTGGTTTTTGTTTCTGAATTCCACTTGTAACTGGAGTTTCATTTGCATTTCCAACACCAAAGTTCCGAAATTCTGTTTCTGAAATTGATTGATCTTGTTGTAAATTTTCATTGTCATGTTCCGAAAATTCCGAAAGTTCAGGAAACATTTCTCTAAGTTCTTTTCTAACATCTTCTCTAAACTTTTCTGTATCGGGTACACTCCAACCACTCTTTGTTTTTATTGTAGTGCAAGTTGGTTTTGGTTCAGGGGAATCTAAGTCATATTGTAACAAACAACTTTCATTGACAAGGTCACCTGTGAATGGACTATGGCTATCTTTAAATGACATTGACCTAGTTTCGTCTATTGTTTGATGCTTTGTGTGAACAGGTGCGATGTAACTCTCGCCAGCTTGAGAAGCGCATGCTGCACGATCTTGATACGACTCAGCACTTTTACCTGTACGACTAGAAACACGTGGACTTTTCCATAACATGTCTGAATCAGCAAAATACTGTTTAGATTGACCCTCGGGTTCTCTACAAAAATCTTCGGGTTTTGCTAAACCGTTTGAATACGGAAAATGAGACATTTTAACTCTGAAAACGAGTAGTTTATTGGAACAGATTATAACAAAACAGCTGACACTGAATGTGCGTGGGCGTGAAATACACAAATGGTTTTACTAATAACCCTGTAATAGCTCTTTATGTACATGTACGAGTTCGAAAAGCCAAATACAGTGTGCTCAAATCCTAGGTAGACAGCACCATTTTTCTGTAATAGGAGTAAACTTTAGAACACCATTTTCATTAGTGGTTCTAGAATATTTTTTTTTGTACACTCTCCTATAATTTCATGTTTATTATTTCCCAGGTTCTTATTTTGATTTGAGATTCTGCTTGGTCTTATTTCCGAACTTATTTGTACCTTAATTCAACACCTCATGTCAGTCGTAATGAACACACCAGTTCCAACAAACAACAAAATTTATTAACCTTTGTATAGACAAACAAAAAAAATATAGTATAAAAAAAATAACAACTGTAAATTCGTGCCTTGTCAAAAAAAATCCCAACAACCGTATAAAAATCACCCCCAACCTAGCGTACGGAAACGCTAGCCCAACCTAGCCGGGGGGAAAAGGCCTAGGGTAATTTAGAAAAACCCCTTATTTATTTAAGAATACCTTAAAACCTATCTCCTAGCTTTTAGAATTATGGCCTAATAAATTTAACAGGAGCAATAGACGACGACAATTTAGTCAAAATGCCTAATATCTTAACATAATTTCTAAGGGTGCAACCTGTTAAATACCTAATAAACCTTTATTAAAGTGAGAGAACTTACAGCAAGTTAATGCTTTCCAAGATTCCCCACGTGTCTAACAGTTACACGGGTTTATATACTCTTCGGAAACAATAGAATCTTTAACTTGAAATCTAGTGAATACACCCCAAGGGTATGAACTTTGACTGAAATTAGTAACACCCAAAAGGTTAACTTCCGTATTGATAGCCAATGAGAATTTAGATCATCAAACATAAACATTTACCCGTAAGATTTGATGGAAGCAACACGTGCTATTAAGGTTTGTAAATATAAACAAAATAATATGGGGGATAAGGCAGTATACCAATATATGCATGAAAACATAAATAACGACATTACATTTAAAATACAAGGCATAAATGCATATAACAAAATTCATTCCTGCTACATACTGAATTAAAAGTATGTTTACTTCATAATTTAAAATTATTACATAATACAGTGCAAACCTAAGGGCAGGTGGGCATAATGTTTACCAAAATTGATGCCTTTATATCTTAAGTTATTACAGCAAGAAAAAAAAAACCCACATGGTAGCATACATGTTAACCGACTGTGATGAAAAAGAGGGAGATTCAGATCATTGTGCACATTGTTTTACGCATCGATTTAAGAAAATATATATGTAAATATGGCCTAAAATGAACACTACATTTACAATATTATAATTAAAATCAAATATTAACTGCAATGAAATAGAAAAAAAACAAAAAAACATTTGACATAAATTATACTAATATTTTTCATGCTCATATCACTTTGGTTTTGATTGGCTGCTTAATTTAACCTTTTGAAGAGTGATCTATGTTGATATATCCTGGAAGCAATAATTGTGAATGTTCATTCAGTAATCAAATACAGCAAATGATGACATTATTTAATTCAGATCTAAAACTAGTTCCTTTTTTTCGTAAGAAAAAAACATATTTCCTGCAATGACAGAAAACGAAAGTAGAGATGCAAAAAAAAAGTATTAAATGAAAGCTGATTCCCTATTTTACTCTCATGAATGAGTTTCATCCAGTTCTAGTATACTATATCCCCTTTTTCTTGGTGGGGATGACAACGAAATTTGATGTAACTAATGTTTGCACCTGTCTTTGTCAAACATGTGCTTGAGATCTGAGTAAACATCGGTTAAAATAAACGTTTGTATGCTCCCAGTTCAAATCAAGCAATATCTAATAAGATTTTATGATGAATGGCTTTAAAAAGGCTACCCAAGCGAACCAAACATTGTTTTTTTTTAGAAAATCGGTAGATTTACGAATAAAAGCGGTAGGCGGGAGATGGAGTAAAAAAGCGGTAGACTTCCACCTTAAGCGGTAGAGTTAACATGTATGTTGGTAGATTTCTTGTAATATTTATATCATTTCTGAGAACATTGAAGCATGTCCAAAGTATAAGCCGAGACTGATTGTTAAGGCAGTGGTTATTTTAAAATGCTTGACATCATATGATGTACAGAATTAATAAATGCTTTACCAGGAAAAACTCAAAGAGTGTGAGCAGTCGGTTCGTAAATATGAACAGGAAGTGGACAGCTTGACCTTCCGAAATCAGCAGTTGTCAACAAGAGTACTGATTCTCCAAGAAGAACTTGATGAAGCTGAAGCCAACAAAAAGAAACACAAGGTCCAATTTCACAACATGAAGATTGATGTGTTTGGAAGTTACATTTTTAATCAAATTACCTGATCTGTAGTGTTGAAAGAAAGTTAACTGAAATACTGTACATTGTAGATACATACCTGTTACCAATAAACGAGAACTAGCATTACATGTACCATGCATAGTAGAGTTAAAATATAATACAGTCAAACCTCGTTATCTCGAACTTGATGGGACCGAGAAAAAATTTCGAGATATCCGAGGATTCAAGATATCGAGGGTAAAATACTTAAAGAATATGTAGTTGGGAATCACTTCGACATATCCATGGTATTCGAGATATCTGTGTTCGAGATACCGAAGTTCAACTGTACATAATCTTTAAAAAAAAATTTCTATTTAAATTAACTCATTAAATTTAGAACACAATATGTCAATTTAAATTTGAAAATGACGTATATATGAAGAGTAGGTAAATAATGACATTATCTGATTTCAGCATAAACATGATGCGAGCCCGGTAAATCTTCCATCTCCTACTTCAGTGTACAATGAAGAACTCATGAACAAGATACAGGAGAATGAAAGGCTTCATAAACAGGTCACCATAAATACTGTAGATTGGCAAATAATCAAGATGGCTTTAATTTCACTATGTTCGTGATTTATCATTTTTCCGCGAAATTAAACCCATCGTGAATGGTATTGTTAGTTTTTAGAAACGTTTAAATGCTTATACAAAATTAGAATTAATTTCTTGCAGTGTGAAATTAAAACAATTGCGATTGGTACTTTTTGAGAAATCGTGAAATTTTAACACCGTGGAATTAAAACGACTTACAGTATCACTCCAAAAATAAACAGGTCACCATAAATATCCCTCCAAAAATAAACAGGTTACTATGAATATCCCTAACAAAATAAACAGGACACCATGATATCCCATAAATATTGAGTATAGTGGAGTTTTTCAGTATTTTGTCTATGCAGAGGGCAGAGAGTAACCAGAAGTACCAGAGTCGATTGGAGGAGCTAGAGAAATTAGTCAAGGACTATGAGAAGAAATTCAGTCAACACCAAGAAGTATTAGATAACACAGTACAGATGGACAAAGCCCAGATAGACAAATTACAGGAGGAAAAAGCCATGCTGGAGGTAATACATGGGGGAGGGGGCTGTCAAAGAAGGGTGGCTTATGTGGAAATGAAAAAAAAATATTCTAATTAGAATTAAGGTAAAAGCAAGGTTAATGTTAATGTTAAATAAAGCATAATGGGTAGCTCAACTGTATACACATGTTAACAGTTGAGCTACCCATTATAGTTTACTGTTTGTACACTTAAAGATGTATATCTGATTTTTTTTTATCTCAGACAATTTATCACCATCTATTATTTACAAATGTACAGTGTAAAATTTCTCAATTTACGAAAATTACACACTCTAGTTTTTATCTGTTCCAGAGAAAAAGAAATTGGAAGATTTAATTTAAAAAATTATTATTGTGGTTCCACAATAATGACTGCTGATAATGCACACATGTACACTAAATAGTTTTTCTTCAATCGTAAACCTGAGATTTCAGAAGTGCATATTAGGTGTTGTGGAAAGCTGATTAATTTGATGGAATCAGGGTACAAGAGCAGAAGAGCAGTGTTAAAAACAGTCTACTTAAATGAATAAACCAAATTTTTTTTTACATGGTATGAGGTAAATAGGTGGTAAAACTAAAATTCTACTAGTAAACAAAAACAAGATTTTTACCTCATCACATGTTTGAAAGGTCACACGATCTTTTTCGAAAGATCTTTATGCTGATTATTCACAAGTTTTTTTTGCAAGCAGAGAATAATTTCTTTGATTACAACTTAGGCACGAGACATGTGATAAGTGGAAAGAATATTTTTAGTCATTTGAACATATGATAAACAGATCTAGTCGATAGTATCCATGTATTACAAAAAATACTTAGCACATGTGGACCATACATCTTTACACATGAAATGTTATGGCATTATGAGAGATATCCATTATGTCATTTTTGTGTATATGTATACTGTATACATTTTCGATCCTTTCGCCCTCGTCGCATTTGGGCGAATTTAAAATGGGGCGAATTCAAAGACGGCACTATCTCTTGAACAGAACTGTGTCTGGGCGAATTCAAAATGGGGCAAAATTGTTTGCAGGTGTGACGGGACGAAAATAAGATAGGGCGAAAAATAACCCTGTATACAGTATTCTGCCTAACTTTTTTATTGGTTCCTGCAGGTCAAGTGTCAGACAATGGAGAAGGAAATCAAAACCTGCAGGTCATGGACAGACATTGCGTAAGAATTCTAACCATCGAATATAGATGTGACATTTTAGTTCTAATAATTACAAATTAAGGGTACATGTTAGTCATACAGCAATATGATTTTTATAGGAACAAATCAAAGCATTGATATACTAAGAGTAATTGCCATTATTTAAAATCATAAAAGTCAATTACTCATATTCAACTGCAAAGATGTGTGTAAAAAAATCTTAAAAATTAAGAAAAACAAAGAACTGATAGTGTGAATTTATTATATTTTTAATTGTGTTTTCATATACCTGGAGAGAACCATGTGTACATGTATCATTGTATTTGTAGGGAGAACCAGTTGAAGACAGTACAGTTCCATTTACAAAGACAATTAGAGCAGGCCAACAAAATCATTGCAGACAAGCTGCCTTTCATTGACACAAGTAGGATAGACTCTTGTTTTTCCTTAAAAATAAATCCACAGGGTTGTGCATAAGACATGGGGGTCAGGGAATTTCCCTGCCTTTAATGACATAATCTTCCAGTTATCCTGGCATTGCCCCTCTACTCCTACAAGGGGAGTAACCCAAGAAATCCTATTTTTAAATGTCCCCTTCTATATAATTCTTATGGACAACCCTAAATCCACATTATGGATACATTTAACAGCTTATGTTAAAATAAGTCATAGTGATTCATTTTTGTGCATGTTGCATGAATCTCGTAGAAAAATATTTTTTATGTATGTTGAGTTACTTTCTCTAAATTATTATTGTTTAATAGTTAAAAGTATATATTTTTGGACAAAAATTATGTTATTATCCAGAAAACAGAGATCTTAATTCTATTTAAAAATTCAATACTCGAGTATTTTTCTTCATATTATTTATTAAATATTAAATAATTCATTTACCGTATTTATTTTCAAAACACCCCTTTTTAAAATCCAGGGCTGTTTTCCTGATCATAGAATCTAGCCTAGCTGTTAAGTTAGACATGTTAGATATCTAGATTGTATTAAACAATAAAATGCTTTCCTCGGTTGTTAGTACAGTAATTAACATTGCAGCTGCTGCAGAAGAAATACATAACCCGCTAAACGGGTTATGTAAATTTTTTCTGCAATAGCTGCGACGTTAACTCTTGTATCAAAAGATTCTAGGAGCTATGTAGAGCTACTACGATCTTGAACAGTACAGCTCTGCAATCACCTACGAAACTATATCTACAACTTACCTTGCACATTTTACAGTTGGGCTTTGATGGACTAGTTTCACATGGGCAGTTTTTATAACACAGCTTGCAGAACTGAAAAGGATTTTTCTTTTTTTATCTTCTTAGCTTATATATTTATAATTTAAAGTTTAAAAGTTTGCATTCCTTTTAGACAGCGACTTCACCATTTCATATAACAACTGCAACAAAACTATTTCAATGACAATTTAAATTCCGTTTATACAGACTTAAATGCTTAAAATCACAAATTATTTCCTGGTTCCTCTGCATTTCACAAACTTTGTCCTACCTTGCAGTATTCAGTGTCCACAAACTGAACCTTTCGCATAATCTACTTTTTCTTGATCAACCTTCTCTTCCTCGTTGCTTGATTCTGCAGCCAAAGAAAGTGAAAACAGAGCTAGGAAACCCAACAAAACCAAGTAGCGTGTGTTAAGCTTCATTCTTCTTTAAATCAACTTTAATGTCTTTGCCTGTCACTATAGTCAATGTTGTGACGTGTACCTTGTGCTTCCTTTTCCGGGATTAGAAGAGGGGAAATTCGGAAGGCTAAGATTTTTAGATATTATCATTGGGTTTGGTTTTTTATTTCCTTTTTTTTTTTTTTACCTTTCAGTACTTATGAATAATTAATTTAGGTAGAAAACACTACTGGGATTGTGAAAAATATGTGTTTTCAAAGTAGAGTTTTACGTTTTTTTTAAATACTTTTGTGAAGTCTTTTATGACTATTTACAGATATTAGCCCTTTCAATTCAACATGGCTGACCATGAATTAGATGCACTAGAGAACAGATTAGATATAATTGAAATAAGGTGTTTGGAAGCTCAGAGAAAGATGCATTTTATCCCAAGGTACGTCTCAACTTGGGGAGCTTTAAAGTAACTTTGATGCATTGTGGCATTTGACCGTATGCAATTATTATTTGATTTATTTATAATTTTGACATTTTTTAAGATAAAATAATATTGAAATAAAATTGCAAGCAACCAATTAAAATAGCTTAATTAAGCTTTGCCTTATTTAATTTTGTATAGCTAAATCAAGAGATTTTGTTGGACCTGATATTATTACGAATAATGTGGTGGTATTAGTTTTATATAATCATAATTATGATAATGACAGGTCCAGCACAATACCCTGGTAAAGGTATATACCTTGATAAAGCTACAAATGTATATAGCTTTATTAAGGTTTTACAAATACCTTGATCAAGGTATTTTATGTAATGAAAAATACAAAAAAGAAATAATATCAGTAAGAAAGCAAACACCACCTTAGGCTTCTTAAGACAGAATCTCCGAAATGTCCCAGAGCAATGCAGAAAAACCGCATATACATGTATATCCCTTTTTAGATCCATCATGGAATATGGAGCTACTATCTGGAATCCATACCTCAAAGGGGATATTGATAAAATTAGAAAAGATACAAAACAGAGCCATAAGATTTTTTAAAAAGGAATACAGCAACAGGAACCCGGGAGCAATAACATCATGAGAAAGAGCCTCGACATTGACACCCTTAAGGAAAGAAGAACAAGCCTGAGACTTACACTCATGTACAAAGTGGTTGAGGGGTTGGTGCCATCATTGCCTCCTCACTCATTCATAACAAAGGCCAAACCCAAACACCAAATTAAACCAGGACATTTCAGGGACCACCATACAACAAATATAGTCCAGAAACATGTGTGTAACAACAGCAAAGGCTTAGTCATACCCACCAGCAGAACACCACAATATTAACCCTCATTTTTTTGTGGACACGTGCATACACTGGAATCACCTACCGGACTCAATCGTGCGTGCAAAAACTACAGGAATTTAAGACTGCCCTACAGGAACATCGACGCCTGCAATAACATCCGGCGCTCTCTCTACTGTTGTAAAAAGCCATAACTGGATTCTACAATTTACAGATACAGATACAGACAGAGAAAAAAATCCTAAAAAAATAAATACTGATAGTCGAGTTCTGAGTTGTTGTCAGTAAATTCACTCATGCATGTAAACTACTCAAACACAAAGAAATCAGTATAAAAGCATGTCGTGTGAGGAGACGTTCTTTTATGCTGTCTTTTTGATACCTGAGTACTTTTCAGGTTCGAGTGAACACACTGACCACAACTCATAATTCGACTTTTAAATTTAATTTTTTAAGATTTTTTTGGTAATTTCATTACATAAAATACCTTGATCAAGGTATTTGTAATACCTTGATAAAGCTATACATGTATAGTTTTATCAAGCTATATACCTTTATCGGGGTATTGTGCTTGACCTGAATGAAGTACCAAAACATTTATCAGGTTGGGCACAGCCCAAAAAAGGGTCTTTGAACTCCCATCAATCTCCCATATTAGAGATGGTATTTACTGACTATTTGGAAGAGAAAAGTCGTTAATTCCATGGATTGGCATGAAATGGCGCATAATTTTAACCCATGTGGAATATAATATAGGTATTTATTGGTGTTCTTAATGAAAAAATCCGTAATTCATCGTGGAATTTTTTGCAAAGAGTTGTTCAAATATTTGACAAGATTTTCTAGTACATTAACCAGTGCAATATTTCTCCATTTTTACTTAAAAAGAAAAATCCCCTTCTTCCCCAACGACGTTGCACTTGTAAATTGTGTTGCTTACTTTCTATTTCAATCTTCTGGGCAACCAATCAAATAATGCAAACCAATAAATTCGATGAATGATGTTCTTTCTTTAACATGGTTTAAAGTCGGATTTAACTACAGAGGCACATAAGTGTTAATTTTAAATTAGGAAATAAAAAGAAAAATAAGTTTTTGCTTTTATTTCCTTTCATTTTGTACTCAATGGCATTATACTTTTTATAAGAGTAGGATATACAGTGAGATATACAGTGAGATTATGATATAATTATTGTTTTAAAACGATGCACTTTGAATAAAAACAAGAATTGCAACTGTCACTGAATTTGTAAATCTTTTATTTAAAATCATTTATTAAATATATTAAATTCATCATTAATATGCATATTAAGAAAAGGTCACATGGAATTTGCAACTTATCCTAAAAGAAAAAAATAACAACAAATATTACATTCAAGTGTACAAAATTAAATTTTATAGCAGTAAGTGCCCACCATACCAGTAAATTATTAGGAGCTCGTGTTTAACAGGCTTTTATGAAAATAAATATTGACGAAGATCCAAAGAGCGATTGAAAGTTAACTTCAAAAGAGTTAAACCACTGGACAAAATAGAATTTTTATCCAACTATAGACACAATCATTTTTTTTTTTGATTGATTGAGCAAGAAGTTCTGCTGTTACGAACAACTATAGGTATCTTTTTTACGAAGTTAAGCAGAAATTTCACCCGGAAAATTGATCGAACTATGCAAGGAATATGTTTACTAAAATTCGCTGATGCCTATGCAAATGCACCTTTGCTTTTTTTTTTTTTTTAATAAAAATTGGATTCGAATAGAAAAGACTACCATTTGGTCAGTATATTTCATCTCTGATATGGGAGACTGACCACCAAACAGAAGTAAATGACCGTTTGATGGGCTGTGCGCAACCTGTTTTTATGTCAGTAGTGCCATTGAATGACCATGATGACAAGTTAGAATAATCTAACCAAATCTTACTAAATATATCAAAACCAATTCAACAAATATAGTCAAATTTGGACTAGTGCTTTATGAAGTTTATTAGTCCGACACATTTTTTACTTGCCTTGGACTTGCAGCTAATTCCAAACCCTGATTATAAATAAACACCATATTAATGATAATCATAGTAAACCTTTTTGAGCTTGTATGTACCTTCAAACCATAATATATCTTGATAAATAAAATAATATTCTACACATTTTCTCATTGTTTCATATTTACTAGCTGCCATACTCTCTGAATTGTTCACAGTATATATGTCACTTAGATTAGAATTATCTCCCCCTATAGTAAGTTGTGTGACTTGTATCACTGTTGAGTGTTGATGTTATATTGTACCTTTACTGTAGTGTGTGCATGATGAACATATTGTTGTATATGTACTTTTTTTCTTTTGATCTGTGCAGGACAAAAAGAGGGCAGATGAGGTAGTTACGATGTTTATCTGCTAGATACATTTATACTACTATATATACTCACAGTTATGTGTTTGATTTTCTGTGTTTTTGAGATAATATATATTGTACATATATGCACTTGCAAAGTTCATATACTTAGTGTATCACTTTTTCACATAACCGGGTGGGGTATTGAAGATTTTATATATTATTTATTTATTCACTTTTGACCAATATTGCAATGGTACTTTATCTATATTAGAAATCCCATTTATATGTACAATAAAACTTGTCTGTAGGGACTTTAGTTACAAGGATTTTCCATAATGAATAAATCAGAATAATTCACTTCTTTTGCTTTGGAGACTATTCAACAAATATGGGTTTCTTTTCTTTTTTTTCTGTCAAGGTAATCCTTAATATTAGTTTTTTTGTTTTGTTTTGTTTTGTGTTTCATTATTTTTTTTTTTTTTTTTTTTTGTCTCTAGAAAACACTGAATTGCTAGCAGACCTAGGCAATATGGGCCCTTATACAGTTGCTCCCAGAAATTCCTTGTATGAAAGTTGAATTGTACATGTATTTGGATTTAGGGCTGATTGTTGTTATATGTCTAATCTTTGATAGGAATCTGTAAAAACAGTCATTAAATAGAATAAAGTCATATTAGTTATTGCACTTGACAATATCAGTTAGTAACTATATTTATTTTCATTTTTGCAAAACAAGATAATTATGAAAATGAATGTCCCCAGCAAGGCCCAATTGAAATAGGGACACATTAACAATGACTTTCGTCTAATGACTGTTCATACATGGTCATGACACTACTGTTGTGGCCAAGAGTATGTTTCTAGTTGTCTTTTACCAAGATATGGACTAGAAAAGAATTTAATATACATTTCTAACACAGATGACCTTGACCCAGTCAATATAACCTCTGTCTCTAAATTATGTTTGTGCTAAATGTGAAGTTTCCATGTTGTTTACTTGACATGCATCAGAAGTTTTGACTTAATGTTGAGTGAAGTTAAAATTACAAACAGACAAAGACACAGAAATGGTGACTGATTCACTTAAAATAGATACTTGCCAACTCAAGGGCATACAAAGTAGAAGTATGATAAACAGATGGTGGAATTCTAGAAAACATAATCCAAGAAGCTGTCAACTCAGGATGATGCAGTGTACTGATTTAAAGGGAAAAAACCATTCATGTTTGAAAATGTTTCTTTTTCAAGGCATTTGATAAAGTTATTTTATTTAATTTAGTCTCTAACCATGCCTCCTGTCAGATGGCATAATTTTCACAACTTGAATCTTTGCATTTGTGCAACACTTCTATACAGACTTTTATGAAATAGCATGACTCTTTCTCTGTTTTCATGATAAATTCATATCTATGATTTAGATTAAAGATGAAAAAAAAATCTTGATATTATCAATAAGCTGTAAATATTATCTAAAACATCCGATTACAGTTGTTTAATTTCAATAAATTTAAAGTTAGACATATTAGATGGCATAGAGACATCAAAACTATAGCCAGCGTCAAGTCATGCCATCATAAATTTACATTTTATATGTATTATAGATTCTTCACAATGAAAGGCCCCAAACAGCACAGCTCTTCTGTAAAATTAAAAATGTTCTCACAAAAATCACATAAGCGAAGGATTTCAGCAATGATGACAGCAATACACATTGGACTAAATATGTAATTATTTGATAGATTTCTGTCTAGTCCATACTTACTGTTTATAGCTTTTAATGGTTTCAGTGCATAGAAAAACTTGCCAACATTCAAGAAAAGATTTTTACTGCAACCAAAAATAAGAAGAGGATATCTGAGATTTACGGAAAATGTAAGAAAATCAGTACACTGTAATTTGATTATTTATTATAATAGTACAGTTTTATTTGCTTATATGTAATATAGATGAACCTTATGTCTATTAGATAAGAAATACAGTGAAACCAGGGGTTGAAATTTTTCTGGAAAATCCACTAGCCCAGGGGCAACTGATCAGTTAAAATTTACTAGCCCAAATATCAAACTAACTAGCCCTACAATTTTCATGCAAAATGAAAACATAACAAATTTAAGTGTCAAACGCTTTAGTGACAGGAACAATATCAAACTAACTAGCCCTACAATTTTCATGCAAAATGAAAACATAACAAATTTAAGTGTCAAACGCTTTAGTGACAGGAACAAATAAACTTAGTTCTCAGTCAAAAGAAACTAGCCTTAGCTGCCTACATAAAAAAGCTATGGTAAACTGACAATCGAGAAATTTTTTTGTTCTGCTAGTTCGAGGGACTATCATTACATTTAAATTATCTAGCCCAAGTCTTAAGATGACTAGTCCCCGGCGTCGGGCTACCGTATATTTCAACCCCTGGAAACTTGACTAATCCGGATGTTGTATATTCTGATATCTTGTGTAATATGATGGAAACTTAAAGTCCCTTTCAGTAAATTCAATTGTTTAAGATGTTGTCTAATCCAGAATTTTGCCTAATCTGGAATTTGCCTAATCTGGCCAATTTCTTTGGAACCAGTGGTGTCCAGATTAGACTAGTTTTACTGATCATGTATTGATTACCTTTTCCATACAAGTGTACCTTATTTACATATTAAATGACAGTACAGGATGTTCTGTAAATTACTCTGAAACATAAAAAGAATAAATAACAAGCTCAATATTCAAACTAATATTCTAGGCTTTATTTAATTATGACCTGATTGATGATTCAGTTCAATGGGTGTTTACAATATAATTTTCCTTCCCTGTGGCTTCAAAACTTATCATGAACTTAACAGGTAGAAGGACATATTATTTTCATACAATCATTGATTGATTTTGATATCATGTGTCAAAGTAAAGAAATGAGGATTGAAGGGGTCTTTCTAAATATAAACATTAAAAAACTCGGGTTGACCTGTACTTTCAAGTGATGGACAAGGGACGCTTTGGTAAGATGAAGGTAATTAATGACATGATTTGCTGGCATATTTTATTCAAAGCATATAAATTTTCCAGATAATGTGGTTAATCAGCAAATACCCGGTAATAGGGTTTACTTGTACTTTCTAATAATATACTTTTTTATTACATCCAGACAATCTTCATTTAAAAAAAATTGTAACGAATGTGGCCTTTTGTAAAAATGAAATAATAGATGTAGCCCTTTCATGAGATCTTTCCATATATAGATGTCAAGTCAATATATCTATGGATTGACCTCATGAAAGGGCTACATTTGTACAATATTTTCATTTTAATGTTTCCAGCCAAGGAAGTACAGAAGTATTTAGATCCAGCCTATACTGATGAAATGACAATGAGTGATGAAGCTAAGGAAGAAGTTATCATAGCAGGTAATCAGTGCTCCCAATTACTCCCAATAACTACATACTGTATATCATAAATCTATAGCAAGTACCGGTAATGACATATGTGTTACTCTCAATAGCTTCATACTGTATATCATAAGGTAATTGCATATACCGGTACATGTGTTACTCCTAATAACTACATACTGTATATCATAAATCTATAGCAGGGAATGGCTCATACATGTGTTACTCCCAATAACTACATACTGTATATCATATAAATCTATAGCAGGGAATGGCTCATACATGTGTTACTCCCAATAACTACTTACTGTATATCATAAATCTATATATAGCAGGTAATGACACATACATGTGTTACTCCCAATAACTACATACTGTATATCATAAATCTATAGCAGGGAATGGCTCATACATGTGTTACTCCCAATAACTACATACTGTATATCATAAATTTATAGCAGGGAATGGCTCATACATGTGTTACTCCCAATAACTACATACTGTATATCATAAATCTATAGCAGGGAATGGCTCATACATGTGTTACTCTCAATATGAACATTGTATATACTGTATTGTTAAGTTGTAGATTTCAAGTAGGAAATTTGTTCTACTTCTATTTTTTCCAGTCCCCTGAGTCATTCATTTATAACTTTCACATGTCATGATTGTTTAGTAATGGAGATTTACTAATAAGTTATTCAAATCATAATGTAGGGCTAGTCCCCTTCTTATTACAAAATAATGGTCTTGTAGAGTAGGCTTTCCCCTCTAAAACTTTTCTTCCCAGAAAACTGGCTCTACAGTAGGATTTCCCCCATGCGTGGATCTAGAGTGGGGGTCGGGGGTGTCTGCAGTAACTGTGGCCTGTGGGGCAGGTGATGGTAGTATAGAACCAAACTTGTTAAACTGTGACCCCTGGGGCTAGGGATTTGGCATAGAATCAGTTTAGTTCAACTGTGGCCCCAGGGGCAGGGAATGTGGTACTCAAACTGGTTAAACTGTGGCCCCTGGGGAAGGAGATATGGTATAGAATCAAACTGGTTAAACTGTGTCCTCCTAGAGAAGGGGGTGAGGCTACAAAAGGACTTGAGACTTACAAAGAAAACAAAAATTGGGGGAAGAAAATTTTCAATTCATCTTCTCAAGATTTTCAAACTACAAATAATATTTGTTTGTATGTTTGTAAATATTTTCTTGTATCTGGATGTACTGTAGATTCAAGTTTATTCTAATCATTGACTTTGGGGCAAAATGAGATCACAAAGAGAATTTAAATTTTTTTTACCGGTACTCTGAAATGTATTACAAAAATATTTCCCCATCAAGGACTATCGTCCAAAATGGAAGCATGCTTAAAATAAGTAAAAATTGTTAAATCATGGTCCTTAGAGAGGGATAGTGTCACAAAATTAGTTAATTTTTTTAAAAGAAAGATGGAAGTACATTTTAAAATCTTTTTCTTTTCTCAAGATTACAGGACAAGAAACTGTCAAATTATAATGCAAAGACAAGTCAGGGAAAAGAGGGAAGGGGGAGGGGTGCTGTCAATTCCTTATGTTCTAATTAATTTTATCCATAAAAATATACTTTGGGAAATATCTTCCCTTACTTTCAGTTCAGATTTGTAATTCATTGCAATTTGGACCAAGGGGCTCTCAAGTTTTAAAAAGGAGTTGATAAGTTTATAAAAAGAAAATCTTAACTGAGAAGAAAACTTGCAAAGTGAGTGACACTTAAGTGACTGTAAAGGCTCATGGACCTCCTTTTTTTGATTCAATAATATATATATATATATATATATATATATATATATATATATATATATATATATATATATATATATATATATATATATATATATATATATATATATATATATATATTAGGGGTGGCAATTTGTAACCGGTTAACTGATTACTTGGTCGGAAAGATGGCAATCGGTTAGAAAATCTGTAATCAGTTTGTCGGAAAAAATAAAATTTATAAAAATTTGAACCTAATTTTCTTAAAATTCTTTCTTTTTTTTGGAAAAAAAAATGTCTATAATAGTTAGAAATTCAGCGTTTTCACATATCCAAGCTGACTTGGATGTAATTATGGTTCTCCGGATTGAGATTGTATTGTAATTGGTCACTTTGTGTTTGAAGTGTTAATTAGTGTTTAAACACCATGTCGTTACCCTCACCGTCCTTGTATTTCTTTAATGATAATTAAATGATCATTGAGAACTGCAAATTTGTATGTTTTTTGCAGTTATCTATCGAATAAATTACTACACAAACTTTGTAAATTAATTAAGTTATGTATTTCAGACTTAGTATGGTGTCAGTGCTGAATGAACGTATGTGAAATCTGCTTTGGGAAAATAGCAATTATTTCTCAGTCATAATTCGTGGTTTTCTTAATTTTTTTCTAGTCTACATTGAAACTAAAATAAAATAGAGAAGCATGTGGGTTTTTTTTAAAATCAAGAATCAAGACAAATAAAATGATTTAACATCTAGATTTTATCAGTCTTCTTGTATATATGAATAGAACTACTTAGGAAAAAAGTATGTACATCAAGAAAATGCGTATATTGATACGGTTAACCGGTTAATCGGTCGGAACGTCTTGCGGTTAACCGATTAGCAATTCTGTATTCGATTGCCATCCCTAATATATATATATATATATATATATATATATATATATATATATATATATATATATATATATATATATATATATATATATATATATATATATATATATATATATATATATATATATATATATATATATATATATATATATATATATATATATATATATATTATTAGTTGTTCACTATTAATGTTGTTTGATGTTTAATAAAAAAGATTTTCTTTGATTTGACAGAGGAAGAATTTTTGAGGGGCCAAGCCAAACATTTGGAAATGATGGAAGAATTAAAGTCAACGTTGGACAGTGAACACCTTAAATGTAGAGTGAGATTAGAAAGTTTACAGAGATTACTCCTGCTTATTTTCCCTTGTATTTTTATTTTTCATACAATCCTGTATAAAACTGTAAAAAATACAAAATTTTTAAAGCATTAACTAAATACATATACATGTATATATAATGATTTTGTAAAGAATTTAGTCTGTTTTAGATTTTAAAGAATAAAGGACAAAAGTTTGAGCTCAACAGCAACAATGATTGAAATTTTTAATTTGAAATGTGAACCTTAAGGACATACGCAACGTAGTTTGAACTTTATTTTCTTTTTCCCTGGAGTTGAAGAGTTCCCATACTTAAAGGAATCGAGTGCTACATTTAATGTCTATATATGCTGTTGTACACTTCTTCTAGAATAAGTCTGGATAAACAAAACATCTAGAATATATGTTTAGTAATTTTTGTATATTTTTCTTTGAATTATACAAGAATTTTCATTAATTGATATCTTTTCAAAACCCCTGGTAATGCCTGCTGATTTTTTGTCTACGAACATCTGATGGCACCATAATCTTAAATTAAGAATATCTTGAAAAATTATCAGTAGGTAAGGTACGTTGCGTATGTCCTTAAATTGAGACAACAATATATTGCCAAAGAAAGAATGAATTTAGCAAAGTATCAAGTTATTTTCATTTATGGATTCAAGAAGTTAGTCAAATGAATATACATGTAACTTGATAGTTCCAGTAACCTTGACTGTTAAATATGGCCTTAAATCATGATCATATTATACACACAATCAGCACAATTTATCAAAGTATTCAAAATCTACAGGGTACATTATATGTAAATGATTTATTTTACAGCTACTCCAAAGTTTACAGAAAAGTTTGAGGCCTTGAGTCATATTCAGATAAAACAGCAGGTAGGATTTCAAAGTACCCACCTGTGTGTAACTCAGAGATATATGACAATGAACGCATATGATTTTTAAAAGTGTAACTCAGAGATATTTGACAATGAACGCACACAATTTTTAAAAGATGAATTATGGGAAACGATTGAAAATTTACAGGTACAAAGATGTATCATTGGACTGATTTGTTTGTAATTTGATTTCAGGACCAAACTTCAGAGCTTACTGAAGAAGCAAGAAAGTTGCTGGCAACATATAACAATATTGTATCCTTCAGATAAATGTTAGATTTAATTCTTACTGTAGAATCCTGAATATATTATAGTGTGCACTTTCACATAAAGCACCACTCGCACAGTAAAGATAGTTGCTTTAATCTTTATATTGCTGAAATACAATGTTAAAAATCAACAGTCCATTCACAAATTCCTGTTCTCGTAATTTGACATTTGTGAGTCATTTTGTGATATTAGGTACTCAAGTTCAATAAGGAATGTACAGTATTCTTAGATCAAAGAACAGGAGACATTTTGGTCCATCTGACAGTCATCCTGTTTGTCCTATGTAAAGTTTAGACAAATGACCTCACAGGTCAGAGATATATTAGTTAATCTCAGTTTTATGATAATATACAGTAATGATATTTTTTTGACGGTGGCTATCTATAGCCACAGTCTTATGCTGCCATTCTGGGTTATGAATAAACAACAGTAAATCCTCACAGGACCCTAGCGATGATTTTTTGCGGAGACAAAATAATGAAAAAATACGTTATGTTTTGCATTATGATTTTTTTTTATATATCTACTTTTGACAGTTTCGAAGAAAAATAGAATGTACATTAACAAAAATTTATAAATTATTACATAAATCATGAATTTCCATTACTCTGGATATTTCTATCAGATTACATCATAATACATTAGATAAAGGTAATTTTGTAACTGATTATCAGTTTCTACTAAACAGGATTCCATTTTAAAGACATGTACAAAAATATTCAAAATCTTATACATCTTTATGAGTTAATCCAGTCAAAATAGAAAATAGACTTCTCATTTTGTATGGAATTTTGTAAGAAAAAGCAAATTGACTCCTCACTTTGTATACAGGAAAACCTTGTGTACAAATTGACTTCTGGGTGCTTTGTATACTAATTGACTCCTTGTGTACGAATCAATTTGTGTACGAATTGACTAGACATGCATTACATCATGGGTGGCAGGGGATAGTTTCGTACTAAAGACCCGGTCAAATTTCTTAAAAAACTGAGATATCCCCTGTTTGATGTGATATTTTATGTAGAAAAATGATTAGAATAATTATGGGACACATTTGCAGTGTAGCAGAGTGCTTGCTGAAAAAAATGATGTGCAACATGTAGGTGTCACTATGACGCTTATCGTATACAGAGTTGTAAATGCAAAACTAAGACACATGGTCAGTTGCAGAGGAAATTCAGCTGAAAAGCAGTAGGCCTTAGAAGAAGGTGTGTATCTCAGACGGAAGGTGAATGGCCCCATATCAATTGGTGAATTTTCATTAGGGCATGCATTAATTTACAGACTACTGGGTGTTTTATCCTGCTCGCTCGGGCCTGGGGGTGGGTTGTATGGGTGCGACTGAGGCCCAAATCTTGGAAAAACAAGCCAAAATTTGGGGAGTCCCCAGGTGCATTTTTGGTACATGTGCACTCTACTAGGCAGATTACATGTAATTTGTTGACATAATTTGTGAGCCATGGGCATATGAAGTGTAATTAATGAGCCCCTGGAAAACTGTCCCCATGTACATGTTTTTATGAATCGCATGTATATGTGTACCCCCTCGGCACATGTTTGGCATTAAAAAAAACTATCTTCCGCCACCATGAAGTTGGACACTACTGTTGGATTTAAGCTTTTGCAAATGTAGTGCGGTGTTATTTACAGTTTTCAATGATAAAAAATATATCATCGTCCTTTTTGATTTGTTTTTAGCTCACCTGAGCCAAAGGCTTAAGTGAGCTTTTCTTATCAAAATTTGTCGTTGTCGTAAACTTTTCACATTTTCATCTTCTTCTCCAGAACCACTGGGCCAATTTCAACCAAACTTGCCACAAAGTATCCTTGGGTGAAGGGGATTCAAGTTTGTTCAAATGAAGGGCCACGCCCTCTTTCAAGGGGAGATAATTAAGAATTAGTGAATAAAATAAATGCATCATTTAAAAATCTTCTTCTCAAGAACCATAGGGCCAGGAAAGATGAAACTCATGGGGAAGCGTCTTCAGGTAGTGTACATTTATGTTTGTTCAAATCATGACCCGGGGGTAGGGCATGGCCACAATGGAGGATCAAAGTTTTACATAGAAATATATAGGAAAAATCTTTAAAAATCTTCTTCTCAAGAACAGCAAAGCCATGATGAGTCATATTTATATGGAAGCATCCTCGGGTAGCATAGATTCAAGTTTGCTCAAACCATGACCCCCGGGGGTAGGGCGGGGCAACAATGGAGGATCAAAGTTTTACATAGAAATATATAAGAAAAATCCTTAAAAATCTCATTCTCAAGAACAGCAAAGTCATGATAAGTCATATTTATATGGAAGCATCCTCAGGTGGTGTAGATTCAAATTTGTTCAATCCATGACCCCCGGGGGTAGGGCATGGCCACAATGGAGGATCAAAGTTTTACATAGAAATATATAGGAAAAATCTTTAAAAATCTTCTTCTCAAGAACAGCAAAGCCATGATGAGTCATATTTATATGGAAGCATCCTCGGGTAGCATAGATTCAAGTTTGCTCAAACCATGACCCCCGGGGGTAGGGCGGGGCAACAATGGAGGATCAAAGTTTTACATAGAAATATATAAGAAAAATCCTTAAAAATCTCATTCTCAAGAACAGCAAAGTCATGATAAGTCATATTTATATGGAAGCATCCTCAGGTGGTGTAGATTCAAATTTGTTCAATCCATGACCCCCGGGGGTAGGGCATGGCCACAATGGAGGATCAAAGTTTTACATAGAAATATATAGGAAAAATCTTTAAAAATCTTCTTCTCAGGAACAGCAAAGTCATGATGAGTCATATTTATATGGAAGCATCCTTAGGTAGTGTAGATTCAAGTTTGTTCAAATCATGACCCCCAGGGGTAGGGGGGGGCACAATGGAGGATCAAAGTTTTGCATAGAAATATATAGGAACAAGATGTGTTTGTGAAACACTGATGCCCCCGTATGGCAGCTTATGGCGAAGGTTAAAGTTTTTTCAAATGCAAGTCAAAATCCAGGCCAAAAGATAAAAAATGTTGATACCCAAAGAAAGGTCTTGTTTCAAGGAATACACCTGTGAAATTTGAAAGACCTAGATACAACTGTTCAAAAGTTATGGCGAAGGTTAAAGTTTTTTAAATAAAAGTCAAACGTCAAGGTCAAGGTCAAAGTGGTTGGTATCCAAAGGAAGATCTTGTCACAAGGATTACATATGTGAAGTATGAAAGCCCTAGCACCAACCATTCAAAAGTTATGGCCAAGGTTAAAGTTTTTCAAAAGTAGGTCAAACTCCTAGGTCAAGGTCAAAGGGTCAAAGTGGTTGGTATCCAAAGGAAGGTCTTGTCACAAGGATTACATATGTAAAGTATGAAAGCCCTAGCATCAACCATTCAAAAGTTATGGCCAAGGTTAAAGTTTTTCAAAAGTAGGTCAAATTCCTAGGTCAAGGTCAAAAGGTCAAAGTGGTGGTTGGTAACCAAAGGAAGGTCTTGTCGCAAGGATTACATATGTGAAGTATGAAAGCCCTAGCTCCAACCATTCAAAAGTTATGGCCAAGGTTAAAGTTTTTCAAAAGTAGGTCAAACTCCTAGGTCAAGGTCAAAGGGTCAAAGTGGTTGATATCCAGAGGAAGGTCTTGTCACAAGGAATACACATGTGAAGTTTGAAACCCTAAGCACCAACTGTTCAAAAGTTATGGCCAAGGTTAAAGTTTTTCAAAAGTAGGTCAAATTCCAAGGTCAAGGTCAAAAGGTCAAAGTGGTTGGTATCCAAAGGAAGGCCTTGTCACAAAGAATACACATGCGAAGTTTGAAACCCCAAGCACCAACTGTTCAGAAGGTATGGGCAAGGTTAAAGTCTCATAAAATTTTGCAAAAGTGGGTCAAACTCCAAGGTCAAGGTCAAAAGGTCAAATATGATGGTACCCAAAGAAAGGTCTTGTCACAAGGAATACACATGTGAAATATGAAAGTCATAGCTCCAACCAATCAAAAGTTATGGGCAAGGTTAAAGTTGACAACAGACAAACGGACAAACAGACAAACAGATAAACAGACAGACAGGACAAAAACAATATACCCCCGGGATCTTTCGAGCCGGGGGCATAAAAATCTTTAAAAATCTTCTTCTCAAGAGCAGCAAAGCCACAATGAGTCATATTCATATGGAAGCATACTCAGGTAGTGTAGATTCTATTTTGTTCAAATCATGACCCCCAGGGGTAGGGGGGGGGCACAATGGAGGATCAAAGTTTTACATAGAAATATATAGGAAAAATCTTCAAAAATCTTCTTCTCAAGCACAGCAAAGCCATGATGAGTCATATTTATATGGAAGCATCCTCAGGTAGTGCAGATTCAATGACCCCCGGGGTTAGGGCGGGGCCACAATGGAGGATCAAAGTTTTACGTAGAAATATATAGGAAAAATCTTCTTCTCAAGAATAGCAAAGCCCAGATTGTTCATATTTATATGGAAGCATCCTCAGGTAGGGTAGATTCAAATTTATTCAGATCATGTGCCCCCGGGGGTAGGATGGGGCCACAATGGAGGATCAAAGTTTTACATAGAAATGTATAGGAAAAATTTTAAAAATCTTCTTCTCAGGAACAGCAAAGCCCTGATTGATCATATTTATGTGGAAGCATCCTCAGGTAGTGTAGATTCTATTTTGTTCAAATCATGACCCCCGTGGGTAGGATGGGGCCACAAAGTCTTAAATAGAAATATATAGGAAAATATCTTCTTCTGAAGAACTGCAAACCATGATTAGTCATTTTGATATGGAAGCATCCTCAGGTAGTGTAGATAAAATTTTGTTCAAATGATGACCCCCAGGGGATGGGTGGGGCCCATTGGGGGATCGAAAGTTTTACATAAGAACATATAGAAAAAATATTTCTTTTCAAGAACAGGAAAGCTATGTTGAGTCATATTGATATGGAAGCATCCTCAGGCAGTGTAGATTCAAGTTCAAATGATGACCCCTGGGATAGGGAGGAACCACAATGGGGGATCAAATTTTTACAAAGGAATATATGGGAAAATTTTTTTAAAATCTTCTCAAGTAACCTCCCCCCCCCCCCCCCCCCGGGGTAATCTTTTCAATACTGAACTGATTTGTGCTTTTGCCTAGCCAATGTGCTCAGGTGAGCGATGTGACCCATGGGCCTCTTGTTTGTTTCTGTAGATATTACACCTTTGATTTAATGACTTCACTGATTAATGATAGTGTTTTATTAAAGCAATACCAGCAGTAACTGACAGTAACTTTTGCTTTACACAAGAATATTATTTAACACCTACCCATAAAACAATGGTAGAAACAAAGTTCCTGTAAGAAATCTAGAATAATAAATAAAGTAAGACTATGTGACTGCACGCTGCCCATTTTTCTTTTAAAAGCCATTGGGATTGCAAGCCACTGCAAAAGTATAATTTTAGTTTTATCCTAGTGATGTACTGACTTGATCTCCAAACAGCTTGCAGGTGTTAAATGCTGCTCTTGCTTTGGAAAGTCTCTCTTTGATATCAGTCTCTGTTTCTCCATTTGTTGTAACTTTACTACCCAAGTATGTATGGTCTTTACATGAATATATTAGGACCTTTGCTTCCCTTAATTTAAAAATGAGGGTAAACTGGTTTTGACACATTACTAGGATTTATAAAAAAATTAATATGAAGATATTATAATCCACTACTTGAATATATAATTTCTGTCTGCCTATCCATGCTTTGGAATCCTCAAATATGTTTTTGTTTTAAATTTGCAATTATGATTGCACACCACAATTGTACATGTAGCCAAAAAACCTTGAAACGATCGAACTTTTGTTTCTGACATTTCAGCACATTCTATAATTCTTCAAACCTTATTTTAAAATAAACAGTTCACCTTATGTAGAAAATTTTATATAATGAATTGTTTAACAACTTCAATTAATATATGTGCCCATCATAAAGACGCAAATAAAATAAGTTTGCTTATCGAATACATGTATTGTGAAAAATTGCAATAAACTTTCATTATTCCCATATCATTTTACAGATTCTCATAACATTTTATTCATTCATCCCACCCTCTATCAGTACTCACTGTTCTTTGATTGTTGTATAAACTCTCTCTCTCCCCCCCCCCCCCCAATGAATGAATGAATAGAGTACCAACAATCTCTGAAGTATAATAGAATTGTCTCCTTGACAACAAGTAGATTACCTTGGTATCCAGGCAGTTTGTCCAATGGGATGAAATACTGACTAATATAGAGGCCAAGAAAACAAAGACCAAAAACTAAAATATCATAGAAAAATGGTGTTAGTGCAATATTTAATAGAACTATCTGTACAATATAAGATTATTATAAAGTTATTATAAAATTGAGAACCAGTGATGTTATTCATTGTCTGATTTTGGAGGGAATTTGCAGTTGAACATGGATGGGTATGTTGAAGTCCCAACAGCTTTTTTTTTTTCTTTTTTTCTTTTTTTTTTTTTAAATACATATTTTAATCTCAGTATCTGAAATGTTCGATATCGCAAGGTTTTTCCTGAATCCTATTGACTTTGAAAAAACAAGGCTGGACCTTATTTTACATGTACACATACATGTATGTGAAGATATGTTTTGGTATTATGGCTCGTGGAGTGAATGTAAAAAGTATACATTTTATATAAGATAATTACATGTTCATGCATCTAAAGTTCTAATATTAGCAAGGAAATTAGTATTCCAGTGTCTAACACTTGAACCAGCTGCCTTCTAACCCAAACTGAGTCACTCTGTCTCAGGTGACCTATTTCTGTATGTTTTTGTTGTTCCTTGTGCATTAACATTTGAATGTTTTCAGCTTTTTTCTCTGAAACTGCTGAACCAAATGAATTTCAACCAATTTGGCATCTAGCAACTATGGGTGAAAGGGAACAAAATATGTGAATTAAATCCCCCCAGGCCTGAGGGATGGGGCTAAATCTATCAAAATTAATGCAATCTTTAAAAATCTTCTCTACTCCTTGACTTTAAGCTGTCAGATTGATGGCATGATTGTAATAAACATTGAGCCCTCTACCAAAATTGTGAAATTCATGGCCCCAGGGTCAGGGTTCTGGTGCTAGGTGGGGCTATATAGATCATATAGTGAAAGTGAATTATTTCTTTTAAATTCTTCTCTGCACCTGGGTATTAAACAAAGTAAGTGCATAGTTTTGATGCTTTTTTGTATTATACAGTTAAAAATTATTGCATAATTCTCTTTTTCTATCAACATTTCAGTTACATCATTTACAGTAATTAATTATCATAGGTGAAAAGCAAAGGAGAATAACTTCTCTCAGTAGAATACAAATTAATAGAGCCCTGGCCAAAACCAGAACACTTGACCAAGTGGATCAAAATACTGAAGATTGGCAAATAATCCCGATGGTTTTAATTTCACTATGTTCGCAATTCATCGTTTTTCTGCGAAATGAAATCCATTGTGAATGCTATCATTAGTTTTTAAAAACGTTTAAATGCTTATACGAAATTTAAATTAATTTCTCGCAGCATGAAATTAAAACCATCGCGATTGGTACTTTTTTGAGAAATCATGAAATTTTAACACCGTAGAATTAAAACAACTTGCAGTACTCAAAAAGGAGGTGGACCTGTTAGTTTGTAATTGTATTGATTACATAGTGAAAATGCATTTTTTTCTCTGAAAAATCTTTGCTACTTGGTTTTAAGCAAAGAAATCTTAAGTGCATGGTTATGATGAGCCAGGGTTCCTTTTCCAGAATTATGAATTTCATGGCCCATGGGTCAGTGGTTCAGGTGTTAGGGCAGGACTCTATTAATCATATATTAAAAATGCATAAATTCTTTAAGAAACGTTTTATCCCTCTGTATATTAAGCAGACAACTTAAGTGTATGGTTACATGTATGATCAGAAAGGGTGTCTCTTCCAAATTGTGAAATTCATGGTCCTTGGGTCAAGGATTGTACCATTAAGGTGGGGGGGGGGGGCAGTACTGATTAGTGAAAATGCATTATTTCTTTGAAAATCTTCTTCCCTGCACCTTGGTATTCAGCAGACATACTAAGTGCACAGTAATGATGAGCAATATTTAGCAGATATACTAAGTGCAGAGAGTGCCCTTTTCTTAAATTTTTGAACTTGAAGGCACCTGGGATTGGTTCTCTGGTGTTAGGGTGGAGCTCTATGGATTATATAGTAAAATTGCATTAATTCTTTGAAATTTGTGTTCTTTACTGCTATGTATTTAGCTAATAAACTAGGTGCATAGTTATGATGAGCAAGGGTGCCTCTTACAAAATTGTGAAATTCATGGGTCTTAATGTCCTGGTGTTAAGATGGAACTCTATTGATTATTTAGTGAAAATGCATTAATTCTTTTTAAAAAAATTTCCAGTTCCTGGGTATTTGGCAGATAAACTAAGTGAAATTTCATGATGAGCAAAGGTACCTCTTCTGTTGACAGATAAGACAATGACATCGTTTATATTACCATAATGGTGTCCATGACTATGCCCCCCACATTCACAATGTTTTTTTTTGTGGGCTCGAAAGATTCCCAATAAATTTTGATATAGTCATTAAAACTGTATGCGAATGCAGTACACAGTTTTCTGATCCAGTATTCCTCTCTTTATCTACGGAACAGAGCACATACTTAATTGAAGTAGGATTATTTGTAGGATGGTATGTTTTTCTCCAAAATTCTAACCTTCATTTAAATGATAGAATGTTTAGCGTTATTGAATTGTTAAAAGTGTTGGTGGCCTCTAGTGTTTACTTAAAACCTACTACTCAGTATGCCCCAGCATTTTTAGCTCATCTGAGCCAAAGGCTCAAGTGAGTTTTTCTGATCGAAGTGTCCAGCAACCGTCGGTCATCTGTAGAATTTTCACATTTTCAATTTCTTCTCAAGAACCACTGTGCCAATTTCAACCAAACTTGCCACAAAGCATCCTTGGATGAAGGGGATTTAAATTTGTTCACAGGAAGTGTCACGCCCTCTTTCAAGGGGAGATATATAAGAATTCATTTCAAGAAACACTGGGCAAGAAAAGATGAACCCTATGCGAAGGCCTCTTTACATACTCTAGACTCAAGTTTGTTCATATCATAACCCCCGGGGGTAGGGCAGGAGCAAAAGAGGGGTTCAAAGTTTTACATAGGAATATATAGAAAACGTATTTAAAAATCTTCTTCTCAAGAACAGCAAAGCCAGGATTAGTCATATAATTATAGAAGTATCTTCAGGTAGTGTAGATTCAAGTTTGTTCAAATCATGACCCCTGGGGGTTGGGCACAGACAAAACAGGGGGCCAAAGTTTTACATAGGAATATGTGAGAAATATTTCAAAAATTTTCTATTCAAAAACAGTTAAGCCATTATTAGTCATATTAATACAGAAGTATCCAGGTGCAGTGTAGATTCAAGGTTGTTCAAATCATGACCCCTTGGTAGGGCAGGACCACAACAGTGGGTCAAAGTTTTACATTGGAATATATAGGTGTAATGGTTAAGGGGCATTTGTGTTAACACATTGAAGACTTCAGATAGTGGAATGACCTGACAAGCCTTGGAATGGACTAGCCAAATGATTTATAAGGCAAAGCTTTGGGAAAGTCGGGCATTCAGAAGGTAGCTGAAGAAGTTGGTTTGAATCAGCAATAAAGAAGATCTGAAGAAGATTGAGACACCCATTTCTTATCTATCAATAGGAACCTAGGGGAGGAACACAGTGCAAGTAGAACTTTACCCAGTCCCCATCTCTAGATAACAGAAAAATTTTAGTACTGTGTGATTTACCCTCAGACAGAACAGTCTTAATAATCATTCTCATGGGAAATGCCTTTAAGAATCTTCTTCTCAAGAACAGCCAGGCCATTATTAGTCATATTTATTGAAGCAATGTTAGGTATTGTAGAATCAAGTTTGTTAAAATTATGACCCTCAGGGTTTGGGGGGGGGGGAGGGGGGCAGAGGGTCAAAGTTTTACATAAGAATATGTAAGAATCATCTTTAAAAGATTCTGCTCAAGAACAGCAAAGCCACAAAGCCATGATTAGTGATATTATTACAGAAGCAACCTCAGGTAGTGTAGATTCAAATTGTTCAAATTTAGGGTGGGGCCACAATGAGCGATCAGAGATTTACATAGGGAAAAAAATCTTTAATATTCTTCTGCTCAAAAACAGCAAAGCCATGATTAGTAATTCTGATATGGAAGCATGCTGAGGTAATGTAATTAAGTTTTTCCCACCTAAAACTTCAATACTGAACTGATTTCTGCTCTTTCCTAGCCAATGTGCTCAGGTGAGCGATGTGGCCCATGGGCTCCTTGTTCTAATTTCTTTATTTAATATTTCTTTATCTTTTTTTTTATTTCTTTATTTCTTTATTTTTTTTTTTTTTTTTGGTGATCCCGTCGTTTTCCCAATATAAATGAGCACAACTATTGCAGTAAATATTCTTGAAAAAAAAGCCATAACATTAATGAAATTTGGATCACAAATGGAAAAACACGAATGTCTTTTCATAATCTTCATTGTTTCGATTAGAAGCAAAAAATGCATTGCTGTAAAAATGTTATTTTTCACTAAGTGCGACATTAAATACCAGAAAATAAATTCGCAGATTTACGGATTTTTCGAAATAACCGGCATGATTAAATGGTTGTACAGTAACTTTTGAAAAGTCCAAGATTTACTGTCTATGGATGTCGCCAATTTTAGATATATTTTGTTAAGTTATCATTGTAAATAAATGTGCGTGCATTAAGTTTTTTTTTTTAATAAAAAAAAGGTATTCACCTTCCGTTCAAAGTCTTGACTGAAATTACATGTAAAAGCTTACTGACAATTACCACATTTGGTTATTAGACGCATATAATCCTCTTGCTTATGGATTTTTCGTCATCTAGAATTTCTCTGTATCATAAATAATAATATCGTAAATGATGATAATAATACTGGCTTAAATTAGCCAATACACAGTGCGTTTTAAGTTTCTGTGGAGATAGAGAAACAGCAAGGTCGAACACTCTTGTTAGAGACGATATAGAGTAATCCTAAAGCCAGTATCTCCATAAGGAGAATGAGAACCCTTATTCTTTTCATAACGGTGAGTATATGTTAATATCACATTTTTAAAAGCAGGAATTAACGGTTTTCTTTAAGAAAAGTATGCCAGTGCTATTTTCTTTCTGATTTATTCTTACACAAAGGAAATCTCATATTTGCGTTTGATCACCGAAGCTGAAAGCTCTAGTGAGCTTTTCTGATCACATTTTGTCTGTAGTCCGTCAGTCCGCT